TCATCATCATCATCATCATCATCATCATCATCATCATCATCATCGGGACACCGACGGAACACCAGCGGGACACCGGCGGGACAACGCGCGGCAACGGCCCCCGGAAAGGAAACATTTGGTCCCGCCGCGCCTCAGCCAGAGGCGGGACACTGGCGGGACACCGCGCGGCACCCGGCCCCCGGAGGAATCATTTGGTCCGGCCGCGCCTCAGGCGGAGGAGACCTTCTTCTCGCCCGCCCACGCAGCTTCGCCTCGCCCGCACGCACGGCACGCACGAACACGAAACCGAAACCGATTTCCCGGTAGGGGGGCTCTCCGTTCCACTTCGACTCTCACCATACCATGGTCACCATCATGACACTTATAATCATTGTCTAGTGCAGAGAGGGAGGAGGGGAGGAGTGGTTCGGCGCGGTCGCAGAATAATTATTCACTGCGTGGAGCTACCCATATGTGCATCTATTCGCATGGACCTGTCCGCCGTGAGTCTAGGCGCAAGAGTTTTCGAATATAAGCGGGCTTGAGTTGCGCCGGTCTGGTCATGAATCTATTTTCGAACGAATTGGAGCGTGAATGAGTCTCGGTAGTACGAGCGCGTCTCTGCGCATGAGCCTGGGGCCTCCTGGGGCTTCCAGAAACCTCCTGGGCCTTCCTGGGGGCCTCCAGGAGCCTCTTGGGACCTCCTGGGGCCACTTTGGGCTTCGAGTGGCCTCCTGAAGCCTCCTGGAGCCTCGCGTAGCCTCTTCGAGCCTCCTAGAGCCTCCTGGTACCTCCTAGGGAGGATTCGTGCCCCAGGAGAAGCCCGATCTATAGGAACAGACGTACATAAAACATTGCGGATTGGAGCCGCAGGAGAAGGGCAGCCTATATGAGTACACGTAAAACACGAAGGACTCGAGCCCCAGGGGAGGCCAAATCTATAGGAACAGACGTAAAACAGTTAGGATTGCATACGCAGGAGAAGGACAATCTATAGAAGCATACGTGTAACATCAAGGATTAGTGCTCCAGGTGAGGCCCAACCTATAGGAGCATGCGTAAAACACATGGGATTGGAACCACTCCTGTTGCCTTCTGAGGCCTCCTGCTCCTGGGGCCTCTCGGGGCCTCCTGTGGCCTCCTGATGCCTCCTGGAACCTCACGTGGCCTCCTGGGGCCGCGAGAAGCCTGCTGGAGCCTCCTGTCGCATCCTAGGGAGAATCTGTGCCGGAGGATATTGGGGACCAAAACAGGGAAACCACCTCAGACATCCCCGCCATGTGGGCGCGAACGGAGGCCGTGCAATACCCTTGGCGGCCCCCCCTTAGGAGTGCTAAAACCAGCAAGCCGCTCGAGACATCCTCATCATCTGTTCATCGTCATCGTCATCGTCATCGTCATCGTCATCGTCATCGTCATCGTCATCGTCATCGTCATCATCATCATCATCATCAAAATCATCATCATCATCATCATCATCATCATCATCATCATCATCATCATCATCATCATCATCATCATCATCATCATCATCATCATCATCATCATCATCATCATCATCATCATCATCATCATCATCATCATCATCACATCATCATCATCATCATCATCATCATCATCACCATCAGACTTACATCATACTCTCACCATACCATGGTCATCATCATGGTATGGGTGGTCTGGCGCGGTCGGAGAATAACAATAATCCCATCCTTTGGATATGGGGAATAACAAGAACCCCATCCTTTGGATATGGGGAACAAGAGCCCCATCCTTTGGATATGGGGAACAATAACCCCATGCTTTGGATATTGGGAATAACAAGGACCCCATCTTAGGATATTGGGAAATAGCCACATTGCCCGTATGGCTACATATGTCCTCGATGCTTATCTTCCTCCCCCACTTCCCATATGTTCCCATCTTTTCTGGGGGATCGACGACTACTTGTGTCAATGTGCTTTTTGTCCCCTCCTGATTCTCAGAAAGCGGCGGGGCCCAGCTCTGGCTGGGGCTTTTGGTGAGAGCCTCTGTTTGGCGAGAGCCTCTGTTTGGCCCAGTTCACCGCAGACTCGCCGTGCGGCGACGCCTCCGCTTCGACATCGGCTGTGCGTGTGCTCGGAATCGGCGTTGGGGTCGACGTTAGAATCGGCGGTGGGGTTGGCGCCCTAGGCGTCGCGAGTGGCGAAAGGCGCTGCCCCTGACGGTAGGCCTCCGTCGCGACTGGTACCCAACGGGCACTCGCAAATCCCGTACCCCGTCTTCGGGGAGGATGCCCGAAGAACGGAGCCTTCCGAGCAGGCCCGCGCAACCCTCGGCCGCCCCTCCTGGGCGCTCCGCCGGCGGGGGGAATCGGGGCAGACGCAAGGGGGGACCTCGGGGGCTCCTCGGACGATAGACGAGCGCGCTCCACTGCTTGCAGAGCAGCTGCTCGCGGATGGCCTGAATCCGCCGCGGGGGACCCACGGACTTACGGTCCACCACGTGGAGGCAGACATGTGTTTCTCGGACGTTTGCGAGCAGGCACTTCGCGAGTAGTGGAACGCGCTCGGTGAACAGAGGCGAGTCAGCGCGTCAGCTCACGTAACTGCTCTCCCTGGCGCCTCCCGGTGTTGGAGGCGCCTACGCATGGAGAAAAACGCCCAGTGCGATTCCTCTCACGTGCGGCAAGTTCGTGTCGTGCCGACTCCCGCGTTGTTGTCTGACATCGCTGGCATTGTTCAACATCGAATGATTCTGGGTCGCCGGCGGCGTTCAACGCTGAACGCCGGCGGCGGGGTCGCCGCCGATCGACACGACGCGAACCTGCCGTAGCTGCTCTTCCCGGTGCCTCCCGGTGCCGGAGGCGCCCCTGCATCGAGAAAAGCGCCCGGCGGTGGGGACGAAACCAGCTGCAGGCAGCAGAGTTCGTAACCCCCGTTCCTTGCCATCGCTCGGACGTCCATTCCCCATGTATTTGTCAAAGTCGTGCGTGCTTCTTTCGCTACATGATCCAGGATGCTCCTCAATGGTCCTCGCGGAGGAAAACACGCACACGTCCGAGCGATGCCCAAATGCCCTATCCCCCCCTCCTCGGCCGACCCGCGAGGAGAGGAGGCAGGGTGGGCGTCCAGGCCCGGCGGGGAAGGGGCTGGAGGAGCAGAGGGCGCAGGAGAGCAGGAGCTGGAGGAAGAGGATGGGCGATGGAGGCCTCTGGGGTTCTAGGATTCCAGGCTGGCCTCGCGCGCGCCCACGAAGGGGCACGAGGCCCAGGCCGAAAAGAGAAAAAGCCACTGGCGGCGACGACGCGGAAGAGGGGGGATGGGGGAGATGGCGGAGGTGGAGGGCAAAGGACGAACGAGAGCGGAAGATGCTGGGAAAACCAAAAGGTACCGATACCGCTACTCCCCGGGCCTCTCCCGGGGTGCGTTCTGACCAGAATTTCGAGGCGAATCCAGCGGTGGCGACGAGGGCCTCCCAGGACGCCCAAAGAGTTGAAAACGAGGTAAGGGTAGCGGTATTAGTACCTTTTCCTCCTCCGAGGCGCAGGATACAAAAAAACCACGGAGCGTTCGGACGAGTGACGCCACAAGCAGAAGAGCAGCAACATGGAACTGCCAGCGGAGAGGGCGCCACGAGCGCGCAACAAGCCACGGGCAGCAGCAGCTGGCGGAGCCCCACCAAAAAAGGCTCCTTATAGGGCCCCGAGCGATCCCGAAACAACGACGGCCGAAAATCGCACTCCCCCACCCCACCCCCCGAACAATCGACACCGAAAAAACGGCCCCGAAAAATCGGCCCCTCCCCCTCGGGGACTTCGGATGAGGTCCGCAAAAATCGTGGAACCCCAGGCGCGCGCGCGAGGACGGCAAGGAGCGGGAGGCAATAGCTGGGAGGACGAGGACAACGAGGCGGCAGTCCCAGGAGCCCGCCAGGGCCAAGTTGCCACATCATAGTCACCTTCGTCCTCGTCGTACTCCTCCAACTCTGTGTCATACTCCTAATCCTCCTCATCCTCCTCCTCATCCGCCTCGTCCTTATCAGATCTCATCGTCCTATTCCTCCTCGTCCTCTTCATGGTCCTCATCTTCCTCCTACTCTACTCCTCATCTACATGGCTTGCACCACATGCGTTTATTTCATTACATAGCTTGCACCACATAGACCATACAACCAAACTGTTGCGTCCAAACCTCTACGCGTAAAAAACTCCAGACTGCCCAAAAGAGTACTTCGCAAGCCCGGGCACATGTGGTTGGCGCAGGGCGTGAGATGGGCGTCCCCTCGAAAAGGTCCACCCTGGTCCAGAGGACATCCTCCAAACAAAGTAACTCTCTCGAATTTGATCTCACGTGCCGCTTGAATGTGCTGCGTGTTTTAGCGTACCGCCACATCCTGTGCCCCCATCCCCACAAATATTAAAACATTAACAATCAAGTCCCCATTCCACCTCCTCCTAAACTAACTCCTCCTCTCTCCTCCTCCTACTGCTCATGCTCACATTTCCTGCTCATCAGCCTACTCCACGTCACGGCCCACAAGGGAAATAAAGGACAGGACTGAGGCAGGCATCGGCACTGTAAAGAGACAGAGAGAGAGATGCTATATATGAATTGCGCATGCACCCTTATCAACGCAAATAATTAAATACAACGGGAGCGCACTGCCTAGCATGACCCCGCCATGAACACCCACTCAAATATACCCGTTGTTGAATCATGCTGCGGAAAAGGGAGCCTCAAACAATGACGTCAATGGGACATTTGCGCCTCCCACGCGCGCGTCTCAATGCAGCTGAGTGTTGTCCTGAAACTCGCGCTGGACGAGGTTACGCTCTCACGGTAACAACAGTCCTCTCAAAACCGAACCCCTTCGTCCAACGTCCTATAAGGAGTGTTAACGCTCCCTGCAACGGCTGGCGCGGCAACGTAAGCGCTCTCGCGACGGCATGTTATCTCGGCTTTGTTGCTTTCATCGAGACTGCCTCTCCTCCCGACCAAGCACTCTCTCCAGTGGCCTTAGTGTTCAGCACCTGCACAATGTCAAGTAGAGAGACGTATCCCTCTTGGACTTGAAGTGCGGTGCAAGTGCATGCCTTCAACTCTGAAATCCGCCGACCCCTTGGGGTTCATCGGCATGTAAGATGCTTCCCCCTCCCCAAACCCCTCCGCGGGAGCCGGACTCGGTCGATTTGGAGGGGGAAGGTTTATCCGGCCGGCCCGGGGGTGTCCTTTGCAACAGAAATTCTGCGGGGGGGGATCCAGGCCTTGAAAACGGGCTACGAGGGCCACAACAGACTTCCAAGACGGTCCAAAAAGGCCCCGAGTCACCGAAACATCGTCCCAAGACGCCCATGATGGCCTCCAGACGGCCCAAGATGCCTCCAAGACGCCCCAAGAGGCGTCTAAGAGACCTCCCACGAGGGCCCCAAAGGCCAAAATCGTAGATTCCCATGCGCTTTTCCAACGGTTTCTGGCTTTCTCTCATTTTCGGGCTTCCGACGCTCCAAGACGGCCCCAGAGGCCTCCAAGACCGCCTCAAGACGGGACCACAGGCCCCCGAGAAGGCCCCAAGACGGCCCAAGAGGGCCCGAACATGGGTCAAGAGGGCCTCAAGATAGCCCAGGAGGCCTCCAAGAGGGCCCCAAGAGAGGACCAAGAAGGGGACCACAAACCGAGATTTCTAGTTTTCCGCCCCAAGAGGCTCCCGGGATGGCCTTGAGGCACTCAAGGAGCTCCACGAGGCCACCACGAGACCCCCAAGAGCTCCAAAAGAGGTCCTAAGAGGCGCCTCCCAGACGCTCAAAGAGGCTCCGACGAGACCTCCCACGAGGGCAAAATCCTTAATTTGTCTGTGTTGTTCCAAGGTGCTTGGCTTTCTCGCCTTTTCGGGCTTCCGACGCTCCACGACGGCCCCAGAGGCTCCCAAGACCGCCTTAAAACGGGGCCCGTCAGGCCCCGAGAAGGTCCCACGACGGCCCAAGAGGGCCCGAACACGGGTCAAGAGGGCCTCAAGACAGCCCAAGAGGCCTCCAAAGAAGGAGACCACGATCCGAAAATTCAAGCTCTCCGCCCCAAGACGTTCCTGGGATGGCCCAAAGGGGCTCCACGAGGCCCCCACGAGACCACCAAAAGCTCCAAAAGAGGCCCCAAGAGGCGCCTCCAAGACGCTCAAAGAGGCTTCGACGACACCTCCCACGAGGGCCCCACGAGACCCAAATCTTGTAGTTTGATCTGTGTTCGTTTCCAAGATGATTGGATTTCTCGCCTTTTCGGGCTTCCGACGCTCCACGACGGCCCCAGAGGCTCCCAAGACCGCCTTACAACGGTCCGTCGGGCCCCCGAGAAGGTCCCACGACGGCCCAAGAGGGCCCGAACACGGGTCAAGAGTCTGGAGGGCCTCAGGACAGCCCACTGGGCCTCCAAAAAAGCCCCAATAAGGGCCAAAGACGGGGACCACGAACCGTAAATTCAAACTCTCCGCCCCAAAACGTTCCCGGGATGGCCCTGAGACACTCAAGGGGCCCCACGAGGCGAGACCCCCAAGAGCTCCAAAAGAGGCCCCGACAGTCCCCAAAACAGCTCCCCAGAGGTCGCCAAACTGCCTCGGGAAGGCCCCAGCGACGCTTCTCACGAGATCCCACCGCACAGCCAAGAGGCTTCTGAGCCACAGACTAGGCACGGAGGCGGGATGGGCCGAATGCCACCATATCCGCGGCCCCCTGTTGATTCATCACAGATGTGCCTGGCGTGCTGGATCCTTTCGGGTTTGGTTTCTGGTTCTTTCTCCAAAATAGCTCCCCCTAGGGTTTCGGCCCGTCTCGCCGGCCACCCGAAAATGGATCCCTATCCCGGAAAAATCCCTCAAGACGGCTCAAGATGGCCTCCAAAATGGCCGCGTTGGCCCAAAATGGCCCCCAAGATGGTCCAAGATGGCATCCAAGACCGCACGCGATGGTCCAAGACGGCCTCCAAGATGGCCCAAGAGAGTCCAAGATACCTCCAAGTTCGCCTAAGAAACCTCCAAGACGGCACAACACGACCTAAGAGGTCCACCAGAGGTCCTCCAGGAGGGCCCGAAGAGGCCAAAATCATTGGTGTTCCCTAGGGTTTTTGAAGAATTGTGGCATTTGCTTCTTCTCGGCATTCCGACAAATCAAGACGGCCCAAGAGGACCCCAAGATCGCCCCAAGATCGCCAACTTGGCCTCCAAGATGGCCCCATGACGGCCCAAGAGGACCCCCATACGGCCCCAAGTGTTCCCCAACCGACGGTATCGAAGAATAGCACAGCGTCTCCAACCCTAGCTTTTGTGCCACACCTCGGTTCCACAACAGTCGCCAGTGCTGCGCCCGCGTAATACAAAAGAGGACAGGGTGAATCGAGAGGAAAATGTGGGGTGGATTGGGAAGTCTCGGTATTGTCAACGAGTGGGCGAGAAACGGCCTTGAGCCAAAGTAGTTGCGGCAGCACTCAACTCCCTGCTCTGCCGCTTCAGTCCAAATGGCACTAGATTAATGAGCCGAAGGCGTTCATGCCCACAGTTCCCTGACAAATTGTGGACTGAACGCGGGAGAAGGCGCTCGCCTGCAATCCTCTGGCCCTCCTGGGAAAAAGCGGAGAAAGGCCGGGCTTCGAGCCCGCATGCGCTCATGGCCCCATGACAGCCCAAGAGGCCCCCAATAGGGCCCCAAGAAGGCCCCAAGACGGCCCAAGAGGCCCCCAAGACGCCAAGAGTAGCCTCCAAGACGGCCAAGGTGGCATCCAATATGCCTCCAAAACGCCAAAGATGGCCTAAGACGGCCTATAGGCCCGCAAGATGCCTCCAAGACTGCCCAAGAGCCCTCCAAGACGTCCTCCAGGAAGGCCCGAAAGGGCCAAAATCGTTGAATTGCCTTAGGTGTTTCAAGGGTTGTGGCTGTTGCTCCTTTTCAGCTCTCCGACGGCCCAAGCGGCCCTTTTCAGCTCCCCAACATCGACCCCAAAGCGGCCAAGAGACCTCCAGGATGGCCCCATAACAGCCCAAGAAGCCCCCAAGACGGCCCCAAGACGGCCCAAGAGGCCCCCAAGACGCCCAAGATGGCCTCCAAGACGGCCCTGAAGCGCCCCAAGAGGGCCTCAAGTCCGTTCAGAGAGGCCGCCAAGACGACTTCCGACGGCGTCAGACGGGCCAGGAACGCCCTAAGACTGCCAAACAGGCACCGAAGAAGCCCCCAAAGGCCTCCAAGAGGCCGATGTAAGCCCCGAAGAGGCCTCCAGGAGGCCCCCGTGAAGGTCCCAGGAGGCCAGAGGAATGACGCACGAGGCCCCCAAGAGGTATCCTCATCCTTCTCCTCCTCCTCCTTCCTCCTCCTCCTTTTCCAACCCTCTCCTCAGCCTCCTCTTTATCGCCCACGTGTTCCCCGACACAGCGGCTCGGGGAACACCTGGTCCAGAAGTTCGTTCAAGCTCTGGACCCAAACGTTTGGCCACTGAGGCGCTTCCAAATAGGCAGGGGGCGGCGGTGATTCGCCGTAGGCGTCTTCAATACAAATACCAGCATAATTCAAGCACCGGTTGAGCTGGGATGGTATGAATTCATATTAGGATGGACGATCGGAGATTGGGTGCGAATCAGGGAAACCGACTGTGGCGTTGTCGCTGGGACCTGTGTCAGTACTCCTTGTGGATATACACCCACCCCCTGCTCTACCCGACCAACGACAAACCCGGGGCTATGTGGGCATTGTGCGCGGTTTTAGGGGCGAATTTCGCGCTTTGAACCTCCCGACGCTCGTAGAGGACCCGCGAAGCCCCCACGATGGCAGCTGCGACCTCCACGACGCCCACAGAGGCGCCCAAGACCAACTCCAAAAGAAAACCAGCCAAAGAACCCGATCGGACACTCCGAGCCCGCGGCCCCAAGAAGACCACAGGAGATCCAACCAGAACCCCCACAAGGCTGACACGAGGCCCCCACAGGACGGCATCTACTACACCCCCAACGGGTCGGCGGTGCGGCGTAAGCCCGAAAATCATCAACCGAACTGCTGTGATGAGCACGGTGCCAGTGCCAATATCAATATCCCCCTTTAGAACAAGGGATCCCGCAAAGAAAACAATGATGGCTTGGGCCAAGAAGCCCAACTCGTTGGAAGCAGTCGCACCTGCCAGTTTCGCGAAGAAATAGTGGCTACTGCGACTCGCGTGGACCATGTTCACCTCTTGATACTCCATTGTCAAGATGCCAACATCGCGAGCTTGGTGATCGTGGCGATGCTCACGGAGCTGACGTGTACTGACAGCCATGCGCATGAGGTACCAATCCCGTTTCCTCTTCGCCAAGTCCAGACAATTGTGGCGCCGCGACGCGAGGTTGAGCGACACATTGGCGGAGAGCACGACCAGGGTCGCGACGCTGACAGACAGAGCAAGTCGGGCCTCGCCGTGCGTCCAGCACATCAGCCCGAAGAGTGCCGCAAAGGAAGCGGCGTTCCTGGCAATCGAGAAAAAGGCGCCCCAGATCAGATTCACCGCCTGAGGGACGTCGTACTCGATGATGGCGCTGCAGCGCCCCGCGGGCCAGTATTTAGCTGTCCCCTCGTCCATCCCGAGGAACTGCCTCTGAAGATGGTTGGAAAGCTCTCGGCGCATTCCGCCGAGTGGGACCGCCCGCTCGAACTTGTACGCCGCCCAGGACTCCAAGAGATTGAGCACCACCATCAGGCAACAGTAGGCAAAAAGCGTTCTGGATGATGGGCCTGTTTTCGACCACCATCACCACCATAAGTTGGAGGGGGGAAGGAGGAGGATGAGGAGGAGGAGGACGAAGAGGAGGGAAACAGGAGGAGGAGGAGGAGGACCCCCTCCCTCTCCAACTTATGGTGGTGGTGGAAAACAGGCCCATCACTGGAGGTCCCGCCCTTCATCTCGTTCACAATCGTTCCGAAAAGATGCGTGCTCGCTACTGGGACTACAGCCTGGAGGACGCTCCAGCGGCACGCAGCGATCGCAGCGGGCCTGGTCCTTCTCCACATGAAGCCCCAGAACGCAATGACCATCGCCGTGATGCTGAGGAGAAAAACTGCATGCACATAAGATTTAGGAGAACCGCGCGGATTGATTGGATCGGCGCTGCACCTGGAGCGCGGCAGGGGAGGCGCCAGGGACGCCGCCATGGGGGTCCGGCTCCAATCCAGGAAATCGGAAATCCGCCAGGGAAATCCTATGTTCATGCTGAGTTTGTCCTTACTCAATGTTATCAACCCGCGTCTCCCCCAGCGGGAACACCTGGCCGCACAACCAGGTACTGTTGGGCGCAAGGGTCGGCAGCGTGCGCGGACACACGGGCGTGCGAGTCCACGGGCGGTCAAACAGCAGCCCAAAGATGTCAAGGTTGACACTGCGCTCGATCTCCAGCGCTTCTGCGGCGGCCTTGCTGACGGCATCCTTCTGGTTCCAAAACCCTGCTCTGTCCAGAGACTCGTGAAGAGGCCTGGGCACGCCCACAGCCTGCGCGGGAATCCTGGAGACCCTTGAGACCACAGCTGCGGCCAGCGACGCAACGCAGACTCCGGAGAGGGCGATGAGCGCGTGCCTGCTGCTGATGTCACCTCCCCGAATCGTTTGGACTCCAGCGGTCGGCGCACCCGCCGCCTCGCCGCCGGCAGTCCCGACGCTTCTGCCCGCCACGAGCGCCAATCCACCAAACCCGACAAGACCTGCGCGGAGCATCGCAAAGACGAGCACCAGGACCCACAGAAGCGAGAAGGCGCTCCGAGGCTCGGCGAGCCGGCGGGGGTGCGGGGAGGCAGATGCCAACATCGCCAGGCGCCTGCCAAGAGGCGTCCGGTCGGCTCGGCCAGACTTGATTCACGATAGCCTGAGCCAAAATGTCTACGGATTCCGCGGGCAAGAAAAAGCCACCAGCCCTTTAGGGCGGGGGCGGTTCAGAAAGTTTCCTCGTCCGATCCCATCCCTCCCTTTCGGGGAGGGGTTTACCCCTCCCCCTGCTCCCTACCGCTGGACCTGGGTTGGCCCATCCCCCTCCCCCTCCTCCCCCCCCTCCACCTCCCCTCCACCACCCCAACCGCACATTCTGGAGTCTCCAAGGCTCCCCTGAGAATGCTCTGGGGCACCCGTGTCGCTCCCCTGTTTCACGAACGTGTGCCTTCTGCATCCTCTTTCCTCAGCTCGTTTTCCTCCCTCCGCTGACCTCCCACTCTCCTCCTAACCCTCCCGCTCCACCTCTGCCAACACGTGGATCGCCAGACAATGAATAATCATATATTTTCTCGTGTCGGCATCATCCACCGTCCGAAATCCCACCAACCCTTTAGGGCGTGAGTGGTTTGCGAGATTCCCCTTCCAATCACCACTCTTCCATGTCGGGGAGGAATTTGCCCTTCCCCCTTCCCCCATATACCGTGGGACTGGCCCCCCTTCTTTAATCGAGCTCCTCCAAGATGGCCCCAAAATAGCCCCCAATGCTTCGGAGAGTGCCCCTTGAAGATCCCAAGAGGCGCCCACGAGACCCCAAGAACCCCCCAAGAGGTCCCCGGCTCCGAAGAGACCCCCACGAGGCTCCCCCGAAGCCACCAAGACGTTCCGAGGCCCCCGGCACCGCCAAGAGGCCCCCAAGACGCCCCAAGAAAACTGCAAGAAGCTCCCAAGAGAAATCCGAGAGACTCTGAGAGGCATCCAAGAGGTATCTGGCCATTCTACTCGCATTCCTATCCCCCCTCCTCCTCCTCCTCCTCCTCCTTCTCCTCCTCCTCCTCCTCTCATCCTCTACTTCATCCGCAGAGTCTTCCTCCTCCTCTTCCTCCTGTTCCTCCTCCTCCTCCTTCACCTCCATCCGTCCTCCTCCCCGTCCCTCCCCCCTTCTTCCTCCTCCTGCTCCTCGTCCTCCTCCTGCACCTCCGATTCCTCCTCCATCCTCCCCCGCTTGGAGGCGACGGCTTCAACACCCCTTTATTCCACTGCATGCTCCTCCACATCCCTTATCAGGGCAGCTCGCCTGGGCACTGTTTCTACATGGGCAGGCGGGGTTACTTTTTTGGTCGGCGGCCGCGCGACAACGGTCTGGCGGCAACAGCGATGCCCGGGGCAACGGAACGCGGCAAATTACACGCGATGCGTGGTGTGCACATGCACGGAGCAAAATGCTCCACATTGCAGGGGGGGTTACGCTTAGCGTCTAGAATTTGAGACGGCATGGCCTCGAGGCCAGCCCAGACCGCCCCCAGACGCAGCTGGAGCCCCTCAGCAGACCCCAAAGACTGCTGCCACACACACACACACACACTTTTTGCGTCGGCGGCTGGGCAACTGCGCTGGCGGAAAAGCAAACATTGGACGAACTAATGCGAATAAAGCCGCAATGCACGGGGGAGGAGGGGGAATGCCCGGCGACATCGAGGAAGAGGAGGAAGCTGTGCCCGCTCACAGCGGGGCCAGGCGGAGACGGGGGGGGCGACGCCTGGAAGGGGGCCCAGCGGCGGCGGGGCGGCAGCTGATACACACACACACACACTCTCTCTTCCGTCGGCGGCCAGGTGGGCGTCACCGCAGCGTGTACGATGGCGGGGCGTGCCTAGTCCAATTGCAACCTGGCCTTCCAAATAGGGGGTCAGGACGTGGCTGACGCATGCAAGCCAAAAGCGCAGAAACAGATGCACGTGGGAAATGCCAGAGGCCATGCAGGTGCTGGGGCGTGAGCGGGGTCACACGCACAGATGCAGACAACACAACACACCACATAACAAAGCACACACACAGACACACGCACGCACACACGCCTTGGCGTCGTGGCCCTGCGCGCAGCGACAGGGCGGAGAAGGTCGAAAAGCAGAAAGCGCGCGCGGGCTAGAAGCGACCCTGCCATCAAAGCACGTTCGCAGCAAAAGCAAACCGAAGACAGACCGAACGAAAACGAACACAACACGAACACCAACAGCACCGTTTAGCTCGAGCCCTGGCACGCCCCCCCCCCACCACCCCCCACACACACACACACACACACACACACACACACACACACACACACACACACACACACACACACACACACACACACACACACACACACACACACACACACACACACACACACACACGCACACACATACACATACACACACCATGACCGTCACCAGAATTGGCCCAGCACGGCCAAACACGACGGAGGGCGGACGGAGAAGGGAGACCCAAGACGGCCACAAGACACCCCAGAACCCTGAATGGCCGCTCCCTCTGCACGAGCCCTGAAGACCCTCAGAGAGCCTAGCAGCCCAGGGGCGGCCCCTCAGCCCACATGCAACTTGGCAATCGACCCGAAGAAGTGGGTTCTGAAGTAGGAAGGTGTTGAAAGTAGTTTGGATGTCCACTCGCCCCCCTGTGAAGGAAAAGGGACAGCCACTCGATGACTCAAGTAGGAAGTCGCCTGAAATATATGGGAATACTTAGAATGTGGACGAACTACTTGCAACAACCGATGATTACCTTCTCGTGCCCTCCTGGCTTTCCACCCCAAGACACCCCCTTCCAAGTGGGCGCCTCCCTGGACATCTTGACCCCATCCCTGGATAATTTGTTCGTCGCGGGTGGTTATGGCCCTGGGGCCCAAGAACAACTCAAGGAGTCTGGAAACGAAAAACGCCTGAAAGTCATTTCCCTTCTCCAGCATGCCCTATTTCTCCCTCCTCCGCCTTCTCTGGTCCATGCCTTATTCCCTCACTCCACCCCTCCTCTACCGTACCACCTCAGAAAGATGAGGAGAGAGGAGCTAGAAAATGAGAATGAGAAAGGGAGAGAGGAGGAATGAGGAGGGGTCATCACATCCCTCCCTGCACCGTCCCCGTCCCCGTCCCTCCTCTCTCCCATCCCTCCAGTTCCTGGGCCTCCTCCTCCTCCTCCTGACTCCTGCTCCCGCTGTTCCACCTCCTCCTCCTCCTCCTCGCCATCCTCCCTCCACACGTCCATCATTCTCCTATACCCGCTCCCCCATGTCTCCTCCAGGGCCCGAGAACGGGCCGCAAAGGCCGAACCTGAGAGGCAAAACCGAGAATCATCAAACTGTCTCGTCGCAGGCCTGGGTTCCATCCACCTCCGAGGTCGGCCGCTGGATCCCGTGACCAGGCTGTCGAGGCGGATGCAGCCGTGGCCGCTAGGGCGCCCAGGACGGCCAAACACGTCCAGAACCCACGCCTCGGACCCTCGATCCTCGAACGCCGACCGCGCCCCCCTCGCGAAGCGCCCCGTCCGCCTACGATCGCCCTCCCTGCAGGCCAGGGTGCGGGGGGGAGCAGCGGAGGGGGGCTCCCCGCGGGCGCCTGCGCAGCCTCGAGCCTCCGCGACAGGGCTGCCTGCGGCGGCGGGCGGTGGGCGTCTCGCGCCCCTTGCGGCCCTCGAACTCCTGTTGCCCAGGGCTCCCCCAGCTGAGACGAGGCCAGGACGGGGAGAAATTCGGGTGAAGACGAATCGAAAGTCTCTGAGACCCGGCGGCTCTGGAAGATGAATCGGGCGCTTCCCAGAGGGCTCTGGAGGGCAACGCTCCGTCTGGAGCGGACTTGTCCTCGTCCTCGCCCCGCCCGTCCAGCTCCCCCTGCTCCTCTTGTCCTGGTCGTCTTCCTCGTGCTCCTGGCCATCCTCCTTGTCCATCTCTTGTGAAGCTCCTGCCTGTCGCACACCCAGGCCTGTCGGTCGGGCGGGCCCGGGCGTTTTCTCACAAGTTATGAGACTGTACCTTGAAAATTGTATCAGGTTCACGGAAGGAGAGAGGGTCGTGTTCAAAATGTCGTCCTCGCCTTGGCGCCACGCACATTTGGAGGCTTGCAGCGGCTTCACGGTTGGATGGGGTCGTTTGCAAAAAAGTGGCCCTCGACTTAGTGCCGCGCACATTCATCGAAGCAAATATGCAACAATTTCACGGATGGAGTGGGTCGTTTGCAAAATGTGGCTCTCGAAAAAACACCGCGCACATTATTCGTACAAGTTCGCAACCGTTTCACTGATGAATGGGCGGGGTTCTAAATGTGGCTCTCGCCTCAACGCGTCGCACGTTCGTTTTAAACATATACAACCGCTTCACGGATGAATGGGTGCGTTTTGAAAATGCGGTCGTCGCCCTTATCGCCGCGTGCACTCGTTCTCGCCTGAGCGCCGGGGGCATTCGATGGTTTGCTTCCACTTTAACCTGGGTGGACAATTGCTCTTCTTCAAAGTGGCCCGTCGCGTGTGACTTTGCTACGTGTATAGTCAGCAACGAAAAGTTAGCACGAGCATTCCAAGGAAAAGTTAGCACCGCCTGGTAACTGTGCTATCTTCTTCGGTGCCCTCTTGGGCCTGAAAATCCTACCTCTTTGGGCGTTGCGGAATGGATCCAGGCCAGCGTGTGCTATCTACTCCTTGGAACACTTGTGCTAACTACTTTTCGCGGGTTGGAACACTTGTGCTAACTACTTTTCGCGGGTTGGAACACTTGTGCTAACTACTTTTCGCGGGGTGGGGTGCAGCTAGGGCTGGATCTCTACCCCTTCGAACCCTTCTCCTCCTCCTCATTTTCCGTTCCTCTCCCACATCGTCCTCCTCTCCTCTCCTCTCCCCCCCTTCCTGGGCATCCGAGGCACAGAAGGAGGAGCAGGAGGAGGAGGAGGAATGCGTTCTTCCAAGCTGCGGCATGGCACAGGCAGGCCCCCTCTGAACAGGCGGGGCACCTACTCTCTGCTATTTAGAAGGTTGGCCCCCCCCTGAACGGGCGGGGCACCTACTCGCGCTTGGCGCATATCTTGCACAATGGCAAATATTTCACATTCCTGCGGTCC